GCCATCTTGGATCCAATTGTGAAATAAATCATCATGGACATGTATCCTAACATGTATAATCTATGTACCAAGTTTGAATGAAAACTGGCAAAGCATGTTCAAAATACAACAGTTTCAAAAAACAAGATGGCTGCCAGTCGGCCATTTTAAATCGAATCGCTAAACCACTGCATGTGCATATGTCCCACATAAAGTACTAGGCACATGCAAAGAAAGAACGGAATCGGTCCAAGGGATTCTGAGATATGACTCCGGACGGACGCACGGACGGAGACCGAATTATAAGTCCCCGTTTTCGGACTTCGTCCGAACGGGGACTAACAAGAGTCGCAGGGTCACTATGTTGTTTCCCGGAACAAAATCATGGGCAAAGGTTGCAGTCGAGGGTCTCATTATTCTCTTGGTCTAAAAGAACATTGTACGTGAATATACAATTATAAAGTTTGTTAGATTGTGTGCGTCTCGACAGCTAATTAATACGTACCTGGGTGGTGATAAACAGCTACTGTGCTAAGCGACCAAGTCACGAATAAAACGACGCAGTATGGGAGATAATGTTTCATGTTTGTATCGTACATACGAGGATTCAGCTTCGCGTTGTACAGAACAAACCAGCGTTGATCGATTGTGTTCTTTTCACACCACTTTCAAAGTTGTTGTCAATTCACACCCAGTAATGCTTCCTTGACGATGCCAACATTTACGTATTTGCGCAGTGTACGTTCAAAAATGAAGCTCATTGAATAGTCCCAGGACGTCTGATTCACGACCAATGGTTACTGAACAGCTCAGTACTGGTTTCTAGACTTCGATGCGTACACGAAACGCGAACTGAACGAACATGTGGCTAGCATGCATGCATTTAGCTGATGACCCTGCTTTCACTTTTCCCATCATCCATTTCGAGGCAGGTGCGTATACAATCAGGTGATTGAGACCCCCTAGCTTAAAGTGATACTTTAAATATATATCACTCAATCATGCAAAACTTTATATGTTAATTTATATCTATAACGTATTTGGAGTCGATGATGCTGATATTATTTTTAACCTGGACCAACCTTGTTGTGGGAGTGGCGAGATCAAAGGCACTTAAGATGAATTTGAAGGTAAACGGGAGTTTATATAGGATGTATTTTTATATAAAATTCCGTTTACACTCAAATTCATGACTCAAGGCCACTACATGTAAGACATCGCCATGGATGCAAAATGAGGTGAACATTTAGCAAATTGATGCGCACTGTATTCGACCGAATGAACCAAACACAGGCTAATAAGAACCCAAATCTCGATTTAAATATCAAAATTATACTTCTAATTTGGTGCAATTCGGTTAAATTAGTGTGTACGGGAAATCCCCTTTGTCCCAGGGCCTCTATGTACGCATTCGTAATGAGAGCATTGTGTACTACGCGACCACTCTATGGCACTGATGGGGTCACATCCACAATAAGTAATTTATTCAGTCGACAAATAAATAAATTAGTGTGTTAAAAAGCTTAATGAGCGAACCAAATCCCTCACCAAATATTTTCCGTTGTATTCGATGGAAGCACGGTAAACCATGACTGATATTCGTGTGACTCCAACAGGTGGGTGGAGCACGCCACCAACGATAATAAGTCACGTTTCAATTTAACTTTTTGAACGCAATACTATTTTCATTTTCAAGACCTTTTAAATAGGATGAAGATCTTATCAAAATATTTTAAAATTGCTACACATTTCTGCAATATTGTGTTGGATATTTTACTCCGGCCAAATCATGGCTTAATAGAGAAAGCAGTGTGACAAAATGACCAAGCTTTATTTTATGGAAAATAGAGACTCCTGACAATTCATGACAATCATAATCATCCATCTCCAATCGTATAACAACATACAATTTGATCACTATATATCACGTGGCATATGATAACGTTTAGATATGATGAGATATTTTCTCCATAGCAACCAATGTTAAATAAGTCAGATATCGTCGTTTTCATAGTTTCCATGCATTTTTACTCGACAAGTAACTCTGTGACCAACATGTTTTATGAACAACACACATTAAGATTATAGTGTACACTTTTTAACACTATGAACGATCTTAATAGGACTGTGCTTGCCTCTGGATAATACGTGATTAAAATGTAAATAAATATTTTTTTAATAATATGACACTGGCACTGACTTTTTAGATTTCATTACGTATACCAAAAATCTCGCAGACGCTGTATGAGAGTGTCTTCCATTATGGCAACACTGTACAAATATACATTTAGTCTACGACTTTGCAAACTGATAGATCAGAATAATGTTTATAATTGTTCCCAACTACGTTTAACAGGTAACGTTAGACACCAATTCTCAGTACCTCCAATCACAGAACTGTGCTCGATTACAGCGCGTATTTTCAATTTGGCAGTAACCATGTGACTTACGGGTAGACACATTTTGTGTTCTGCAATACAAACCATGCATAGTGTACAATGTTTTGCACAAATTGGAAAAATAAAATGCAATGAACCGTCAGTTCAGCCATCATAGAAGTAGAGTCAAGTCTGCCATTCAGTGTTGTGTTGTGTAATTTTACCCAATACAATTATAGAATTACAGTTTTCATGTAATGTTCGGCCAATAATAAGAAACGGAGACTATTTACTCATATAAAGTGTTATTTTTTTCGGGAAAATATTTTTTTCTATTCAGCATCCTGATTTATAACGTGTTATAACGTGAGATGCGGGACAAAGTTCAGGCCATGCCAGTTTATTGCTCTGTCAACCTGTAGCACATTAACTTAATATGCGACTTTTATTTTGTCTTAATACTACGGTGAGCCTTTTTTTCTTTCATGTTTTTTTAGCAGCCTAAACCACGTAGGTGTTTATCTAATTTACAATAACATTAACATTGGCACTTACTCAAATATTTCAACATATTTTGAATAATCTCTAACAAATTGATACCTGGTAAAACACACTCAGTAGAACGTCGATCAATTCTTTGACTGTTTTATGTATGTAAATTATGTCGACCTTTTCCCGTGATGCAATGAGCGAAACACGGTAAAAACATTCCAAAAACGCACGCGTTATTATCCGATGTACTGAGAATCACAGAAGTGTATACACATTTAAGACAACATTTTAATTCGAAGTTATGTTAAAACGACCGTAATAAGCCTAGGCGGGTTCATCCAATGTTTTCCTTTTTTGATATCTGCACACAAATCCCGACATCCGGGACTTACGACGACTAGCCTCATCATATGTCAAAATCAAAACTATTAAAGGGGAACCGCTCAATCCCATGGATTGCACCAAAGAATCATGGGACACTATTGTTTATGTTGTTTACAAAGTTAATCTATCTTTTGTTATCCATTGTAATTAATCCAGAAAGTAAATTGTTGTGAGATTAGGCTTAACTGGAAGTGCCCCTTTAACTGATAAGAACATTGCATATCTAAGGATGCAACAAGGTTATAATTATATGTAGTTTACGCTCCCACTTTAAAATGACTGAAAACTATCATTTTCATCATATCATTTTCTAAATGAGTTATTATTCCTAGTTCTCATGAACGATGGTCATGCATTAAGAAAACGACACGGAGAGATGACAATTGTTAAATTTATGCAAATTTACTCGAATTTATAACCGATCAGAATAATCATAACCAGTTTATACATCACCAATATCCACATTATCATTACCAATTAACCACAACCCAGAACATAGTACGCGTCTCCAAGCTGACAAGTTGCGCCCTCTAACGTAAACTACTTGTATACTCCGGGAATCACCCCCAGCGGAGAGCCTTTACCGCTGTCAACTGACATACAAGTTACTGTACACATTGTAAACAAATTGAAACAAAACAAAATGTTATTATTAATATGATTTATTACAAAATGTGTAGAACAAACGTGTATTATCAAATATAGTTTACGTACTGTAGTGCAAGTGGTCGATTTGCTAAAACTACTAAATATATTTACAAATTTAAACTCAAAATTACACAAGACTTAAAGCGGGAGGGTCGTCACCTGCGCACGTGCGGGAATTGAGTCCCAATCGACGATAACAACACACGCTAAAAACGCAAAAGCTCATGGGTAGACGCTTGTTTGTAAACAATGACACGCTATGGCCATCTGATGCATGCGCAGGTGACGACTCCCTCGCTTTAATTGGTACAATATATTGCGAACCAACCAAGAGCTACTGCCCACCCGTTCCCATTTATCGCGTTGGATGTAACAATCAGTATGTGAATGGATAATGCAGCAGTCCCGCCCGCTATCATCAACAGCAGTTTACGAATAATATCTGTCGAAACGGCCATCAGCAATCAAAATGGAACGGTCACTAAGACTAGAAAGCGGCAGTGCTCGTTTCCAAGGTTTCAAAGTTTCTGTATGCCAACAGAATACAAAGAGACGGTATTACCAATCTAATCAATTCATTTCCATGCACGGTGTCAGTGTGACTAATTCACTTATAGTACAGTGCCATATAGAGGCTAGACTTCCTTACACGTTCTCTTGTTTTGAAAGAAAATGGAAAAAAATGCGATAAAATAGCAAAATGCAATAGTCATTCCACTATGTCACAATAAGGTTTGTAAGTCTATAGAGGAATAATCTACCTTATTACACTGGCAATTCACTGATTGTAGTAATGCCGTGCATACATATTTGATTTATAATATTTTCAGGTTTCTTTGTTTTTATTATTGCTCGTGTTCATAACCTTCTTACGAGATTTTTCGAATTTACGAATATAATCTACTCTTGATATAATAATTCACAAAATCATTTGTGATATTATTTTTTTTAAATCATTTCATACGTTAAATATATATATATATATATATCATATATATATATATGTTACACACGTACTTCAAAACATTATTTTTTCTCGTGGGAAATCTAGGTTAATCTGTTTTAAAAGCGAATAATATTATATTTAAATAATTAACTGTTGATGGAAATTATTGAAAACTCATGTAAATATATAGGTTGACAAAAGTGTTTTTTAGCATTTTCTCAAAACTCTAAAAGCTGAGAAATTTTCAGAATATGAACTACTATATGCAAATCTGTGTCGACATTTCAACTACTTTTCGCTTTAAAAACCGACGACTTATGATCAGCTTGGCTGAGACGTGACAGGCATACGTCATCACATCACATTCACTCTCCTAGTAGAGTGACTGTGATCACATATTCATTATTCTGTCTTTCGTTTCTACACACACAGGATTTGTAATTAGGCCTCTGATTCTAACACAACTTTATTCAGGTTGACATGGTAACGTTCTGCGCGGTCCTTCCTCCTCAGACACTGGCATCTTCTCATCTGAAATTTGAAACATTAAAATGAATGCAAAGCAAAAAAATCACGGCAACAGTGATCGAGCGATTCACGTAAGGTAGAAGACTACTGGCAAAAGCAACTTACTGGACATTTTGCAATAAATTGTATTTCTTATTAATACAAAGGCATTGACTTAATGAATGATATTGCATAAGATAAAATAAAAAAAATAGCTTCATGATTTTACATAATAAACCAATGAACATTGTAATGCAATTTATGACCAACGTTTTCAAACGTTGGATTCTACCTCGAAGCACAGCTCTATCATTGTGGTACATGCACATCGTACTGTATACTCGAAGCACAGTTCTATCATTG